TTTTATGTTTCATTTTGAGACAAGAGCTTACTAAATTATTCAGGCTAACCTTTATGGTCACTCTGTAGACCATAAAGGCCTTCAACTTGTGATCCTCCTGCATCATCCTCCCCAACAGCTAGAGTTCCAAGCCTGCATCATGACTTCTGGCTTTCCTTTTTTTTTTTTTTTTTTTGGTTTTTTGAGACAGGGTTTCTCCGTGTAGCTTTGGCACCTTTCCTGGAACTCACTCTGTAGCCCAGGCTGGCCTCGAACTCACAGAGATCCACCTGCCTGTGCCTCCCCAGTGCTGGGATTAAAGGCGTGCCTCCCCAGTGCTGGGATTAAAGGCGTGCACCACCACCACCACCACCACCACCACCACCACCACCACCACCACCACCACTCAGCAGACTCCTGGCTTTCTTACTTCCTTAAAAGAGGCCTACATAGAAGGATGATGGTGGTGCATACCTTTAATCCCAACACTGGGAAGACAGAGGCAGGTGGATTTCTCTGTTTGAGGCCAGCCTGGTCTACCTAGAGTGTTCCAGGACAGCCAAGGCTACACAGAGAAACCCTGTCTTGAAAACCCAAAAGGTGTGTGTAGGGGGGGATGGGGTGGGTGTGGTACATTGAGTCTGGAATCTTTCTGCTCTGAGAATAAATTGTCTCTGTATAATACCATATCTTTCTATAGAAAAAAAAAAGTTTTCACTGTCATTATGCAATCAATCCACCTAGAGGTAAAATGCAACCCTCTAAGGAGGTGTCTTGTCAGGGTACACTATTCCAGGTGTACCAAGTCAACCACCAAGCATGAGTTCAGGGTCCAGGGTATGTCTCAACATGTACCAGAGTATAGTGATTCAAGAGGAGAATGACAAGGGTCCTGCCTCCAGGAATTCAAGGTCATTTCCATGAAATTATCAATTGGGACAAAAATTAAAAGAAGGTATCACAAAGTGAACGCTGTGCTCAGCGATAAAGAAAAGTGCTGGTAAGTCTCAGAGGTGACGAACAGTGTACATAAAGACACAGCCTCCCAAGAGTAGATGTGATGAGAGGCAGGGAAGAGAAAGCGGCTGGGCCCTGCTCTGAGAAGTCTTACTCTTTATCTCCTGTAAGCTCAACAATTTCTCCACTCCATCCAACACTCAGAATTATTGTCTTTGGATCCAGAGAAATACACATGACATTCCACCAGATACCTCTGAATGTCCTTTATGAAAACCACAAGTATTTTTAAAGTTGCTAGAAAAATGAGCTGAGTACAATAGCACACTACGATGCTCAGTTGCAAGTCTGTTGTTGCTCTAAGAGCTGAACAGTTTGTTCCACAATAATTAAAATTCTATTGTGGTTAAAGGCAAAGGTTGGGCGATTCTTTATTTCCACTGACAGCACTTCCTAGATAACTGACTTTAATCTTTTAAATGTTTGGAGTTGTTTCTAATTTATTAGTCAAAATATTCAAATATATACTACAAACTTCAACTGTAACCTTAAGTTAGAATTTTCTTAAAATAACTTTAATTTTGGGACAATGAGATGGATCAGAGGCTGAAGGTTTTTGCTGCCAAGTTAACAATGTATATTCAATCTCCAGGACTCACATGGTAGAAAGAGAAAAAAACTTCCTCTAGTTTAAGCTACGTTATGTAATATGCAATTGTGTTATGTAATATCAGACTAAAAACAAATAATTTTGTGATGAAAAATGGGGCCATGAATTTGAAAGAGATCAAGAAGGGGTACATGGGATGATATAGAGAAAGGAAAGGTAAGGGGAAATGCTGTAATTATATTGTAAACTCAAAAAATTAAAAACATAAAATCTTAATCTTGTTTGATAAGTATATAAGAACATAAAGGTGTTCTGCTATTCCACATAAGCTGGCCTCTGCCCTGGAGATGAGCACAGTTGATATGTTCACCCTAAATAAGCCCAGACTGCTGCACAACAACATTTTCTAATCATTGCTTCTTTTTTTCATCATAAGGGATTGACATCCCTGCCGTCATTGCTAGTGTGACTGTCTTAATATTACTTCAACCTACTATCCACATTGTTTCTTCAAATCTACTGTTTTTTAAAGGGAGCACATATAAAAAACTTTTTTTTTTTTGCAAAGATATAGCTTTCAAATTAAGACTGTGAGATCTGAGTGGTATTCATGAATTTGAAAAACTGAAGTTCGTTACATACACTTTCCTTTTACTTCCTACTTAGAGTTCAGTTTCTCATATGAGATCAATTGCTGCTCAAGGAACTGAGTAATACTTACCGTGACTATGATCTTAGGGAAGGTAAGTCCCTAGGTAGAAGTTCTGGTTCTGAACTCCAGACTGTAGTTACTAACCCAACACCAATCACATTTCCCTTGATATCCATGCATATAGAACTGTTCTTTACCTCAGAATATACAGCTATAACCATAAACTCATTTGTGATTATCTGATGTTTGCATTCTCCATTAAACTAACAACCCCAGGAAAGTACGGATCATGACAAGTTGTGCTCACATTATAATCCTAGTCCCTAGTTTAGGAGTTACTCAACATTTCATAGTGCCCACTCATTTTGTGATGGGTGACTGAAGTAATAACACATGGCATGTCCAAAGCCCAAAATTCTGTTCTCACTGGTGCTGCCTTGCATGATCTTGAACAAATACAAACCTCTAACTTTCAGTTGCTACATTCAGAAGAGAGTCTTCAACATAATGCTAAGTGTGTTCTTCATTCTTAGGTTTCCATTGTATCCAACCAAGGGAATACCAGATGTCAAGGACGTAAGTCCAATGGAAAACTAGCAGGGCAGGAGTACCAAGAGTGGGCTGCTTAGCCTCAGAAAGGAACAAGAATGGCTCCTACTTCTCAGAAAAATGGTCACTTCTAAATTGATATATTCTTTGGTAAAGTGTGGAGGGAAAGAAGTTTCTTATGGAAAGCCTCCTTTCCTTCCCCACATTTTACACCAAGTTTATGAACTATATTCCCCATCCATCAGACTTTGTCTTTTAAATTTATATAGTTTATTTTTCAGAAAATTGCCTTTTGAATTTGAAAAAAAAAAAAATTTGAAAATGCTCCTTTGCCTGCCAGATGTGTTTGACCAAGCAGCACATTTTAGTGAAGGCATTGTTCCTTTGAAAGGACATCTTACTGTTCTAGGTTGGCCTTCATATCTGCAAAGCAATGGTAGCTCCAGAAGAGAGCATCAGATTTCCCAGACTAGAATTACAGACAGTTGTGAGCTGCCATGTGGATGCTGGGAATTGAACCTGGATCCTCTGGAAGAGCAGCCAATGCTCTTAACTGCTAAGCACTCTCTACAGCCTGTAAAAGTGTAGCCCAGGATGACCTCAAACTCATGATCCTCCTACTTCTGCCTCATCAGCATATGCTATGGGTGTACACCACCACAACCGTTTGTCTAAATCAGTCTGTTTTAGAGAATGTTTAAATCATTTACTTTTGTAAAAAAATGAAGATTAAAGAAATGGGGAGATATTTTTATGGCTGAAGAGAGACATTTCAAAGGGGTCTTCAAGTCCCACCTCCAGACATAATTATCATCATCATGACAGTTCCAGTCCCTTAGAATACCATGAAAAAACAAGTATACAAATCTATTTCCTACACACTACTTTATAATCAAAACCATCACTTGGATATCTTTTCTCTCAGGTGTGGCAAATGAGTTCACTTTAGGAGCAAAAGTTAAAGGAGTACCATGAAACCTGGTAATCAAAATAGTATTTCAATACACTTCTTTATTATCAAAAAGCAAAATGAATGAACAAGATATGAAATTTTTAATAAGGAAGGATCTGTATTATTGATTTTTTTCTTTTGCCTTAGGCTCCAATATGGTTCAACTCAACACTTTCTTACTTCCGTCTGTTTCGATACAAGACACCATGTATCTGTACAGTGGAATGTGCAAAGGAGGCCAATTTGTGTTTGCTACATCAGTCTGAGCCAGAGAAGCACTGGAGACTGAGCACCCAGGACCACAGCATCGAGACTCAACAAACAGTGCTTCTCAGGATAAAGAGGGTGGTTCCTATCTTAGGTTGTTTCTGTCTCTCACTAGGTCTGGTAATTTTTAAAGAAAGGACATTTACATAGCTTACAGTTTGGTAGGTACAAGAGCATGTCACCAGCATTTGTGTGGGGCCTCTAAAGTGAGGGTACATGGGGAAAGATGAAAGGGAAACAGAAGCAGGTTCTTACAGAACAGACGACATGGGCAGAAAAGAAGCAACAGAAAGCCAATTTCCTTGTATTAACTAACTCATCCTTGAGGTAACTACATCAATCCCTTTGTGAGTGTAGAGCACTCACAACCTAATTACCTCTTAAAGATCCCCAAAACTCTCAACATTGCCATATTGGAGGCTAAGCCTCAACATGAATTTTGGTGATGACAAACCACATTGAAATCATAACAGTTCCCAATGGTCAATAAAAAGAGGCTCTCACTGGAGCAGAGGCTATCCTCCTCTCTGTTAACTACTATTAACACTCTGCACACAGAAATGGCACAGCCCAGTATATGGTGCTCACATTTCTCCAAGAACACATTCCACTTTGCATTGGAGAATTCCGCAGTGTAACTGTGAAATCCTCCACTTCTAAACATCCCTCTATTTTTTTAAAAATAGAGGCTATTTAAAAAAAACCAAAAAACAAACAAACAAAAAACAAACAGTATTGATCAGTGTCTGCCACGGAAAGAGCAAATGCTATAAACGAAAGAAAGGATGCAGTGAGCTATTTATCTTTGCTGAGTACTGACAAAACAATTGGTTCCAGAGAAAGTTTTGTGTCCTTCCTTAACTCTTAATCCTTAAGAGTCCGTGGGGGAGACATGCCATCAGGGCTGTTAATCAGAAGGGGCGCTAACAGGTGATTCTGCACTCTCTACTATGGTAGCAGGGAAAGAAGAAATGATTACTTAATCAATGCAAATTGGAGAACATTTCTATAATTGAAATCAATCTGTTCTAAAAATAAGCAATGAAAGGAAGTCCCTCTTGAATGGAGCGCCTGTGTAGCACAACCGCTGCGGCCAAACTAGACACTTCGAGCCTTAAAATGACATCAGGAAGGAAGCAGGGCTGATATCAAGTATGTTACAGGTAATATTATCCTGCTCCCAGTGCTCCAACATTACTACTGTTCCCCAATTGCAACCTCAATATCCATCCTGGGACACTGAAGGCTAAGTTTAGTGATAATAACTCACCATTATTTTTCTAATCTATTAGGAGATAATTAAAGAATCTTTCAAGATAACATACAAGCATTTTTAACAGGCAGTAGGTGGGTAGTCTGTGGGTGGGGATCTTGCAGAAACAAAACTCTGTAGGGATTTTATTTTTCTTATCCACCCAAGTATCTTCGCTGTATAGGACACGTGCACAGCGTAGGCTTTCCATAATAATTGTATGAATAAAACTTAAGCTAAGGAGGACTATTAAACTTTTGCCAATGCTGAATCATAATCGGAAGGCAGCTTGTCAGGGCCTGTGTTGCAAGCAATTGCCCAATAGAAAACAGGATTTGGGGCTGAACTAACAATATAAAATCATTGCTGTCTCCAGAGAGACAGAAAACTTGAGTAGTCAGTGCTATCCCTGATATGAGAGGTCTCTGAGATTACTAATAAGAAACCAATTCGGGGTGCAAGAGAAGGGTGAAAAGATAGGTGACATGAACTAATCAGAATCCTCAAAGGATCCACGAAGAAATGCCTCGTAACAAAAGGTGAAATTGTAGACGAGTAAAGCAAAATACAGCGAGGTTATTTTCTTTTCCTATTGATATGGGGACTCTCTAATGGAAGTTCTGGATATTATCAGACCCAGTTAAAGACTGCAGTTCTGATAACCTCTTCACCATCCATAGACTGAAACAAACAGACCGGGCAACTGTAAAGACCTGTCAAAGACCCGCATCCAGAGAGACAAGAAGCACCTAGCCCAGAGAGCAAAGTTCCTATGACCAGCCTACTGACAACATTCTGGAAAGGGGCCCTAGGGCTGCGTGCCCGCGATGGTGGCGCTCACCGAGGGCCAAGGCAAATCCAAAGGTTTGCAAATGGCACTACTGAGCAGGGAAGATCCTGGAGGTGGCTGACCCAAAGGGCGCTGAGCCCACACTCAACGAACCAATGGCCGTGGAGATAGGGCGGGCCGTCGAGGCATCGGGCCAATGGGAGTGCGGCAGGGCTGGAGGGCGCCCCGGCCTCAGCGCCACGGTTTGCCGCCTAGCCCGGGCCGATGTGGGAGCCCCCCGGAGTCCAGGCGTGTGCAGCGGCGCTCGCGGGCGCTCTCCTCCTGGTGCTTTCCGTGCTGGTGGTCCGCCAGCTCCTGAGGCAGCGGCGACCGGCGGGCTTCCCCCCGGGGCCACCGCGGCTGCCATTCTTTGGCAACATCGGCTCCCTGGCCATGTCTGCCGAGCTCCCCCACGTCTACATGAGGAGGCAGAGCCGGGTATATGGCGAGGTAGGCCGCGATGCAGACCTTCCTCCCGTCAGAAGCAGCGGCCAGGGACCCCCGTGTGCCTGGGGTGCCTGCCGTCCGTCCAGGGCAACCCGCTTCGAGGGTCGCGCCTCCAACCGGAAGCGGCCTCACCGCTACCACACCAGGGGCGCTTCGGGTTGAGTTTCCCGCCCACAGGCGAGCGCCTGCGCGTGCGCTTTGTGACTTTTAGCCTGTCCAAGATGCCTGCCCTTCAGCTGCCTCTTACAGAAACTTCTGGGCCCTGTGGCCCCCGAGCTGGCGGGAGGCGGGGGGGGGGGGGGGGGGGGGGGGGGGGGGAATGAAGACATTTTGAGTTTCTAGGACAGAGTTAGTGGTTAGTATTGCAGGTTGCCATTTAAACTTTTTTTTTTTTTTTTAAAGATTTAACACTAAAAAATTGGCTTTTAATTTTCTGAACCCTAAGTTTTCCTCATTTGGGTACTTAGAATAGTGATAACCAAAAGCAGTAATATGCTACCCGAATATATTGGCTATTATGTGTGGTTTTTGTTACTATATGTAAAAGATAACATTTATTTAGTGGTATTAGAAGTTGACCATACAGACTGACATGGGCTTTACCACTGAGACACATACCCAGTCCAATAGAAATTTATTATCCCTACAAATTTAAAATTATCTTTAAACCAGTTATTTGAAATGGGTTCTCATTGAATAGGAAATTAAAATTTTATACATAAATATTTGAGCGGAAAGGAATTCTTTACTATGAATATTCATATAGGACAAGTGATATAGGTCTATTAAAGTAAACTAAAATTAAAATATAAGTGTGTGGAAGACTGTTGTCAAGGAATAGGTTGATTAGATTGAATTGCTTAGAATTTGGCATAATTAATTTTGTTTCTGGTGCAATGAGGAAACTGCATTGTTTACAACAATGACTATTAATTTACTGCACATCCAATAAGGCTAACCTGGGATGAGAGCTGCAAAAGGGCAAGGAGCAAAACTAAAAATGTATGCAGTGCAGAGCAAACATTGTGTTGTTCGGTTTTGGAACCACTGCTGCATTTGATCTTTCTTCTAGCTGTAGAACACCCCTGAAGACCTTCCCTTCCTTATCTTAGAGGTAGTTCTCAATTCTGACAGTGTCAAGATTAGTATAAGTTGTTAAAATAATAACCATTTTTTTGTACAGTAGGAGACTGTTACCTCCTGTACTTCAGAAAGGCTGTAGGAAGCAGTTTATGGAAATTATTTTTCTACTATCTCCCTTTTTAATTTGAGATGTGTAGTCAAATAAAAAATAAATCTGAACTTTCCTACGTTTGTGCACTGTGAGTTTAATCCTTTATAATTTTTGAAAGGAAAACAGCAGTGCCCAAGGTTCATATTTATTTTTGAGCAATCTTACATAATGTGCTGCAGCATAAATTGCCATTTCTTTGGAGATTCACTCTTGATTGTTTCAGCTTCTGCTGTGATTAGATTCTTAATGTAGATTTTGAGCAGCATCCCATAGCTAGCAAAGTTGATATAAGTGGATTTGTCAGACTTTTTCAGGCAATACTCTTACGGGCAATAAAGATGATTATTTTGCATTACAGCAAACAGAACTGGCAGTTTATTAATTTATCTTATGGAGAACTTATTCAAGGCACTGAGTGGGGTTCTGTAGAGAATTTAAAAATGAAAAAATATCATTTTTAAAGTATTTATAATTTAGAAGACAGACAGATGAAAATGTTTCAGGTTCAAACTAGTATTAAATTAATGTCATGGAAGCTTTTATATGAGCTGTGATGGCTCAAAGTAAAGAAAATAAAAATGTATATATTTTTAAAAACTACATGGAATATGGTCTCTAAAGAGTTGATATGGTTTAGGTAGTATGGCAATCAAGAGAGGCATTCCAAATGAGGAAACAGACCAAGCAAAGGTTGAAAATGTGGCAGTCACTTATCAGCAGTAGCACTATGTACATTTGTTTGTTATTAGTACTTAGCCAATGATGTTGTAATAATATGCTTAAATATATTTCTGCCAAAATTCATTAATTCAGCATACATATATCAATTGTCATCATAAGCCATGCATTATCATGAGTGCTGGTGATAGAGTAGTGAACAAAACAGAGATCTCGGTCTCTAGGTAGTATACATTCTATTTGGGGGAAGACAAACAAAATAAATATAAGTAAATTTTATAATATATTAGAATTGTATGGAGCACTAGAGAAGCTAAACTAGGGTAATGGAAATGGACACTACTGGGGGGTTGAATTTTAAGTTAGTCAGAGCAGGCATCATTGCAGGGACATCTTAAAAGGAAATGAAGGAGCAGGCTATAAGATCATCTTAGGGAAAACACACCAAGAACACAGCAAACACCAAGGGCAAGAAGGGTGGCTTGAACCATAGTATAGAGGTGTGAACGCCAGTTTTGCATTACTGAAACAAAATAGTTGAAATAATCAACTTACAAAAAGGAAAGATTTATTGTGGATTCTGTCTTGGATATTTAAGTCATTAGGTTGACCTCAGTACTTTTGGAACTGTGGTAAAGCAGTGTATCATGGTGTAAATATATGGCAAAGTAGACTGCTTACATCATGTCAGCCAAGAAGCAAAAAGGAGTGAAGAGAAGGGGCCAGGACCCCCCCTTTCAAGGATATACCCGAAACTTAAAACCTCCCACTAGGTCCCTTAAAACTTCTACCCTTCCCTTGTAGCACTAAGCTAAAGACTATATCTTTAACATATAAGCCTTTAGGATACATTTAAGATCTGGTGATAAGACGTTTGGTCAAGTTCTTTTATAACTTCACAGTAAGAACAGTATACATGCTGAGCAGTTGAATGTGTGGTTTGGGAGGAGATTGAGTCAACATGAGTCCAAGACCTTTGTTAGTTATCTTTCTCTTGTGCTCAAGCACCTCACAGAAGCAACTTAAGAAAGGAAGGATTCATTTGGGCTTACGGTGCAGAAGGTACAGTTTATCGTGACAGCTTGTGGGTCAGTTTCTGGTGTCAAGAGTTTACAGTAGCTCCTTACTTTGTACCAACTAGGAAGCAGAGACAACTTGGCCCGAACCAGGGCCAGGATATGGCCCTCACTACCATGTCCCAGCAACCCACTACCTCCTGTTAACCTCCACTTCCTAAAGGTTCAATTGTCTCTCAAAACAGTGTTTGTAGCTGAGGACAAAGTATTCAACCACAAGTCTGTGGGAAACATTTCACATTCAAAAAGAAACTAAACACCTTGAAGGATTAAAAAGTGTGGTTAACTGATACAGTAAAATTTTCTATGTAGAGTTAGTTTGGGTGGAGAAGAAGTTATGTGAAGATGATACAGAAACTTCTAGAGGGCAAGAATGTTTGATGCATTTCTGTTTACATCTCTGCTAGCACAATTATCTCATAATAGACATTTTAAAACTGTTCAAAAAATCAGAGATTGAATAAACCTAATCTTGGACCCTTCCATAGATCAAAACAGTTTAAGTTTTTGCAGTTTGATTGATGAAACTTTACTAAAAGTTCTTAAGTATAATATACAACTAGATCAAGTAAAATTTCCCAATTCTACTCTCTTAACAGACAACTATCTCAATTTCTAGAGTAAAGGTAGGTTATATAATAGCTTTCTTAGTGATTAGTCCTCTTTTTTTATTATCTCTAGTAACCACAGTCTGAAGACTTTCCTTGAAATATATTCTCCATCTGTTCTGCCTATGGACATAGCTTTCAACACCAAGACCTTGCACCATTCTGGCAAAATGATGAAGTTGTTTTATTTCCTGCATCAGTACCACTTCCTATAAATGAATGCCATTTTTGTAGAATTTTCACTGAATACATTTCTGGAGGAAGACTTTTCTTTAACAACACTAATACTGCTTTGGGAACTGAAAAGATTTCTTTTTTTTTTTTTTTTTTTAAAGATTTATTTATTTATTATGTATACAGTGTTCTGCCTACATACATGCTTGCAGGCCAGAAGAGGGCACCAAATCTCATTACAGATGGTTGTGAGCCACCATGTGGTTGCTGGGAATTGAACTCAGGACCTCTGGAAGAACAGCCAGTGCTCTTAACCCCTGAGCCATCTCTCCAGCCCCTGAAAAGATTTCTTATTTGCTTATCTGGTAGCAATTCCCTTTGTGCTAAAAACTCCTCCATGGCCTGAAACTAATGCCACTGTGTACAAAATCTATACTCTTTTCCCAACATTCTAAATGTACATACTTCTCTGTTCCAGGGCCCACCTTTGTGCCAAAGACTCAGGTGGGACTGGTTGTATTTCCTCTTGGTAATATTTATCACTTTTGCTGTCTTACTCATGAGGAATTGTTGTTTGTATTTTACTCTTTTTTCTTTTGGGGGGACACACCATCCAGCTCCCAAATAAATCATACACGGAGGCTTATTCTTAATTATAAATGCTTTAGCTTGACTTAGTTTTTTTGCCAGCTTTTCTTAACTTTAAATTATCCCATCTACCTTTTGCCTCTGGCCTTGTTCCATTCTCTTCTGTAAATCTTACTCTTACTCTGTGGCTTGCTGTGTAGCTCAATGGATGGCTCCTGGAGTCCTCCTTCTCTGGCTGCTACTTCCTTTCACTCCTCCATCTCTTTTTTCTTTCTTTCATATTTCTCCTTCTATTTATCCTCTCTGCCTACCAGCCCTGCCTATCCTTTCTCCTACCTTGCTATTGACCATTCAGTTCCTTATTAGACATCACGTGTTTTTGACAGGCAAAGTAATACAGCTTCACAGAGTTAAACAAATGCAACATAAACAAAAGTAACACCTTAAACCGGGCGGTGGTGGCGCACGCCTTTAATCCCAGCACTCGGGAGGCAGAGCCAGGCGGATCTCTGTGAGTTCGAGGCCAGCCTGGGCTACCAAGTGAGTCCCAGGAAAGGCGCAAAGCTACGCAGAGAAACCCTGTCTCGAAAAACCAAAAAAAAAAAAAAAAGTAACACCTTAAAATAATATTCTACAACAAAGAACTTTTGTTATCAATCTACCTTTGTTGATTGCACAAAGATAAGGCTTATCCCGGTATTTTAGCTGTAAAAAGCTCTTGGGCAATTCCTGAGAGGATAGTGATAAGCAGTCTTTAGGACTTATTGATAAATACAATTTTCACTGGGTTAGGCCTTTACATTAGGTTAGCTAAAATACACTTCAGGAGGAGTGACATTGTAAGTGAACCTGAGGTGACCCTATTGTGTCTTGATTAGTTATTGTTAACTTGATGCAACTTAGAGTCACCTGGGAAAAGGGAACTTCACTTGAAGAATTGTCTCAATCACTTTATCCCAGGGCATCAAAAGAAATTGTCTTGACTGATGATTGATATGGGAGGGCCCAGTTCATTGGGAGTAGGGCACAATCCCTAGTGTGCTAGCTAATTTTATATCAACTTGACACAAGCTAGAGTCATTTGGGAAGAGAGAACCTTGATTTAGAAAATGCCCCCATCAGATTGGCCTGTGGGCAAGCCTGTGGTACATTTTTTTGACTGATGATTAATGAGAGAGGACTCAGTTCACGGTGGGCAGTACTATCTCTAGACTGGTGGTCATGAGTGCTACAAGAATGCAAGAGCAACAGTCCTCCATGGCCTCCATCAGTTCCTGCCCTGCTTGCATTCCTGCCCTGACTTCCTTCATTATGTATTGTGATATGGAAGTATAACATGAAATAAATCCTTTCCTCTCTAAGTTGCTTTTGGTCATGCTGTTTTATCACAGCAATAGAAACCCAACTAAGAAACCTGGAAGGTGTACATGGGCTGTATAACAAAGCTAAGAGATAAACCAATACTGCTTATTGTTCCTCCATGGTTCCTCCATGGTTTCTGTCACCAGATTGCTGCCCCAACTTCCATTCTTGATGAACTGTGATCTGGAAGTGAAAGATGAAATAACCCTTTCCTCCCCTAACTTGTTTTTGGTCATGGTGTTTATTACAGCAAAAGAAATCACACTACAACATGGGGAAACAACTCCAGCAAGTTATAGGGCTATCCTACTTTGCTTTCCCCCTGGATGAAAGGTATCTACCTATGTATACATGGTAAATATCTTTCCTCTAAAGTTAAGTTCCCTTAGAACCCCGGGATTTAGAAAGGCAAATACAGTTGAGACTATATACATATATATGCGCTTGAATTTCAGAATTGTCTTTTCTCTGCGTCCCACTTCAAGCTGATATAATAATAGATGGTGCTAGTTATAAATTTGTCTTGGAAATAAAATGACATTCCTATGTAATAAATATTTTGAGATGGAATGAATCCTAATAGAGTATCTAAGTCAAATATATTTTGTTTTTGTTTGTTTTACCTAGTAACTTAAAGTGGAATACAGGCCTCCTGTGTCCAGGACTCTTTCCATTCTACCTTATAAGATGGTTCCAGGCAGGGAGAGGTATAATGAATCATGCTGTCTAGATACTGTCAAGTAACAAATCCTTATGTTTTTACAGAAGTGGCAAATAATAGAAGGGATAGGTTTAGAACATGTGGATTATGTGATAGTTTCGCTGTACATTTTGCTGTTTGAATATTGTTTTTCTTTTCAAAGATTTTCAGTTTAGATCTTGGAGGCATATCAACTGTGGTTCTAAATGGCTATGATGTAGTAAAAGAATGCCTTGTTCATCAAAGTGAAATTTTTGCAGATAGACCATGCTTTCCTTTGTTCATGAAGATGACAAAAATGGGAGGTATGTTTTTTTCAACTGTTCAGTGAACCTATTTTAAATCACATTCTTTATTGCAAATAATTTTACTGTAGACAGATTGCTTTGTACTTTGTGAAACCTAGATTTGAGGAGCCATCAGACTGCATTCAATAATGTTTTAGACTATTACATGCTAGTTTTATTACCATTCAATTCTAAGAAACATAAGTAATTAGTACTTGGTAAGTACTGAAATAAATTAGGAGTGCACAAACACACAACATACACACGCACATACACCATGAATCAGAAGTTTCCTTTTGGTCACAATCTTGAGTACTTGGTGACAGACTTTTTTATCATGTACAAGCTTACAGAAAGTAAAGCAGACTTTCCTAACTACTCATCATTATGTTGTATAAATGGAAAGCTGTAGAGTTTATACAAAGGACAGGCTTTTTGTAGGACTTAGTAATGATCAGATTTGGATGACTACATATTCTACAAGGAAGAAAAGCTGAAAGTTGACACAATCAAGGAGAAAGCAGCAATAGAAAATCTAAAATAGAATGTTGACACCAGATAGAACTAGTATCTGATTTTTTTTTTACAGTAATGTTCTAAATTCTGTAATGAGACCTCCACACTTACTTTCAAGAAAAATTTTAGTGTCTTGCTTAAATAGGCAAAATCCAGGTAATAATAACATTAACAAGTTTTGAATTCATGTTTGTCTTTTATATTATTATACATGAGCATTTCTATTACTTTGAACAATTCAAGGCTGCCCTTGACTTTGGCATAGTTACCTTGTTGGGTATCATGTACCTTCAATAGAAGGAAATTTGTATTGTAAAAATCTAGTTTCTTTCAAACAAAAACTTCGTATTTGGGGGTATTTGTTTAATCCAAAATTAAATTTTGTCTATAGAACATACAATCATTTGTCTTTCATTATATATATATATATATATATATATATATATATATATATATATATATATATATATACCTAGTTTATCTGTGTTTGATTACAAATAAGACTGGAGAGTTTCTTGTGGTAATGAGAATTATAGGTCTTTCTGACAGTCCTTTCATGAGGAATAGGTTTATCTAATGTTCTGTGGCTTTGAGCAGCATCAACTAGGATCCAATCATGTACTTAGATAATTGGGGGCTAAAATCACTGATTATCCATCTTTGAATTTTTCCTTCATGTTCTCTTTATTTCACAACATTTTAAATACAGAGAAATATGAATTACACGTTATTTTTAATACTTTCTTTTAGGCTTACTCAATTCCAGATATGGCCGAGGATGGATTGATCACAGAAGATTGGCTGTTAACAGTTTTCACTATTTTGGATGTGGCCAAAAATCTTTTGAATCTAAAATCTTAGAAGAAACACAGTTTCTAATTGATGCTATTAAAACATACAGAGGTAAACCTTTTGACCTCAAACAACTAATAACAAGTGCTGTTTCAAACATAACTAATCTTATCCTTTTTGGAGAACGATTTACTTATGAAGACACTGATTTTCAGCACATGATTGAGTTATTCAGTGAGAATGTGGAACTAGCTGCCAGTGCTCCTGTCTTCCTGTATAATGCATTTCCATGGATTGGCATATTACCTTTTGGAAAACACCAAAAGCTATTCAGAAATGCAGATGTGGTCTACGATTTCCTTGAAGGACTTATTGAAAAAGCTGCAGTCAACAGAAAGCCTCATTTACCTCAGCATTTTGTTGATGCTTATTTAGATGAGATGGATCAATGTGAAAATGATCTTTTATCTACGTTTTCCAAAGAGAATCTGATTTTTTCAGTGGGTGAACTCATCATTGCTGGAACTGAAACTACAACCAATGTGCTACGCTGGGCAGTTCTTTTCATGGCTCTTTATCCTAATATTCAAGGTGAGGATACTCTTGACCTCAGGGTCTCTCCTTACATATAGGGCTTGTGTATGCATTAGAGTGTTTGGCCATGTATAAAATACTTTTAGGAACTCCACCTGTGGTAGCCAAGAAGGGAAATACCTCATAATTATAGTTTTCAAATCTAGTATTTCAATGCAAATTTAAGAAAGAAAGGAAAGAAGGAAGAAAGAAATCATCTGAAGGCTAGTCATGGTGGTGATATTCTTCTAATCTCAGAACTCAGGAGACTGAGGCAGGAGAATCTTAAGTTCAAGGCCACTGTAGCCTGCATAGTAAGTTTAAAACCAACCTTGGATATGTAGAATGGTACTATGTTAAAAAAAAACAACTTAAAAATGGATATTAATATGTATGTTTAATAAAGGATGACAAAGGATGAGTGTCTAGAAGCCACAAAGCTGGGATCTGAACTCTGCTTTTTCTTATTCAGGTCTAACGTTTTGTTATTTTCTTTGCTGACAGTGATACTACTCTGATTCTAGGCTGATGACACATTTATTCATCATCTTTTTCTTGACCTTACCCAGAGTGTTGATTATTACTAATGCAAGGTATAGGGGGTATATAATTAATTCATGTAACTACCAGAAGATGAAAAATTCAAATATAGATACATCCAATTCTGTTGATTTATTATGGGTTATCATTTGTTGTACCCCAAAGAGAAATAAGTTTACATATAATTTTAAGAATTCCATAATTTTAATGTTTCTCTGACAGGACAAGTTCATAAAGAGATTGATTTAATTATGGGCTACAGTAGGAAGCCTTCTTGGGAAGACAAGTGTAAAATGCCTTATACTGAAGCAGTTTTACATGAAGTTTTAAGATTCTGTAATATAGTTCCACTGGGGATTTTCCATGCTACCTCTGAAGATGCAATTGTACGTGGTTATTCCATTCCTAAAGGCACAACAGTCATTACAAATCTTTATTCTGTTCACTTTGATGAAAAGTACTGGAAAGACCCAGACATATTCTATCCTGAGCGATTTCTGGACAACAGTGGATGTTTTACTAGAAAGGAAGCCTTCATTCCTTTTTCTCTAGGTAAGAAAACATTCACATGTATATAATTTTAAAGTATAACAATGACTCATTCATACCATCTCAATCTGAAGTAACCTGCTCCAGACTGGCTAATTCTTAATACTTAAAATTAATTCTTTTTTTTTTTTAGTATTTTTCTTTTGCTTGAAAACATTTTTTTTCCTCATATAATAGATTCTCATTACAATTTTCTTTCCCTCTACTCTTCCCTGTTTCTCTCCACCTCACCTCTCATCTGGATCCATTCCCTTTCTTGTCTCTCATTAGAATACAAACAGGTTTCTATGGGATAATAGTAAAATATAATGAAACAAAAACTACCACACAAACAACAATGGAGTTGAAAAGAGCTCAAGAGAAGGCACAAAATCAGAGACCCACTCATTCACACACTTAAGAATCCCATAAAAACACTAAACGGGAAGCCATGATACATATATGCAGAGAACCTGGTGCAGGCCTGTGCAGGCCCTGTGCATGTTCAGCCTCTGAGTTCATATGAGCTTCAATCATTGGTTTAAAGGACCTTGTTTTCTTGGTGTCCTCCATCCCTGCTCTTACATATAACATTACTTCTTACAGGAGAGGATGGTTTCATTAAAGTAATGAGCACTTGTTTCTATTCCAAATATGCCTTAGTTAATAAAATAAAGCTAAAGTTGTTGAGAACCTGTGGCTGGCTACTCAGAAACTTTTTAACTTATGAATGTTGGGGTTGTAGTCAAACTTCTACAGCAAAAATTCAGTAACAAGTATGAGGAACTGAAACCCATATAAAGGAAAGGAGAAATATGACAACTCCAAGTAAAGCTAGAATCTTGCCTTGTAGTTTATCATGTCATCTCCAACTAGGACATACTGCTTCTGCTATGAAATATTGGAAGATTGGCTACATCTTTATCACTAAGGAAAATACTCAATAGATCAATTGAAATGGGCTTCCCTTGGAACTGTAAGAACAAAATGTCACATCCCAAAGACCTTCTATATCACATCATGAGCTCTGTTGCATTGTACAAGAGAAGTCAGAGATGGGAACAAAATCTTAAAAAGTCCATGATCTGATATAAGGAAATAAAGAAATGTGTTTCTTCGATGAAGTGCTAGTTTCAAATCTTTGAGATTTGAGAGACTATTCTCAAAATATGATGTCTTCTAACCTACTTTAAGTTCCTGATTTCATAAAATGATATCCAAATATTAGATATTAATTTTAGTAAATAGTCTTTAAACTTATTTCCTTTTCTGTTCAGGGAGAAGACATTGTCTTGGAGAACAGCTGGCTAGAATGGAAATGTTCTTGTTTTTTACAGCATTACTTCAGCAGTTTCATTTGCATTTTCCACATGAGCTAGTTCCAAACCTGAAACCCAGGTTGGGCATGACATTACAACCCCAGTCCTACCTCATCTGTGCAGAAAAACGCAGAAAGTGCACAACTGTATTAGGGGATTACCTTGTTTAATCAATAATGGTATTTGAGCCAAAGTCACAGTTTTATAAAGCCAAGTGAACACGGATACATTGTTTAAACTAGTACTAGAGCAATAACAAGCATTAGCTGTTATTTTTTCTAACTTCCATGAATTCCTGTAGAATGTATTGAATGACACAAAGGTGCAAGTGTTGTGTAGATACTAAAAGGGGCCATGGATGCACTAAACAGAATTCTTGTTTAGTGTAAGTTTCCTCAGATCTGGCTCCATCCTGGGGAACTTTGCTTTTTGCTCCCAAACTGATTCCTCTATAATCAAGTGTTGTGATTAGCAGACTGTGATATCAGTCCAGGACTAAAGAAGAAATAAAACCCACATAAATTAATTTTGACTACAGAAGAATTTAAGATATCATGGTAGGCAATGGAAAAGCTTTATATTTAATATAGACTCTTCCAGTGCTTTCAGATATTCCTCTCTACTATGTATTTATAAGAATTGTGTCATTCTTCCTATAAACAAGAGTTTCTGTGATCCCTGAGCATCCACCCTTACAGCAGCAGTTCAGTATATAAAAAATACAGTATGCAGTTGGCTGTTTATTCTTTCTTTGTAGGCACAGTCATTACACTTTTCCTGGCACCACTTATCTCTAAGACCAGTCACAGAACTCAGATTCAAACATCTTATCTTTTTTTTTTTTTTTTTTTTTTTTTTTTTTTTGGTTTTTCGAGACAGGGTTTCTCTGTGTAGCTTTGCGCCTTTCCTGGGACTCACTTGGTAGCCCAGGCTGGCCTCGAACTCACAGAGATCCGCCTGGCTCTGCCTCCCGAGTGCTGGGATTAAAGGCGTGCGCCACCACCGCCCGGCCAAACATCTTATCTTACTGAGGTCTTAGTTCCATGGGTTAGGGAGTATTCAAATCCAAAAGTCTGCTATAGAGACAGGGTAACTTGTAAATGGGACACTTGAGAATGATGAGATGTTATTACTAATTATACCAGGACAAATGGCATATTATCACAGGCCAAAACAAACTAGAACGTATACATATTCATTTATAGGTATTTTTTCATTATTGTTTCTTCTAAAGTTCTTCAAAGAGCTCATGTTCATGTAACTTGTTTTGTGAAGAGTTGTAGTCTTAGAGCAAGTAAATATAACAATGGCTTATATGATGAATATGAATTAGGGGCCACAGAGAAGGCTTAACAGTTAAGAGCATATACTGCTCTTGAAGAAGACTTGTGTTTAATTTCCAGTGTGCACATCAGATGGTTTACAATTTCCTGTAACTCAAGCTCCAAGGGAATTCAATGCTTCTGGCATCCATGACTATTCACACTCATGGACATACACTTAATTAAAAATAATATTTTTTAAAGCTAGAAAGAACATGGATTTAACCTTAATCTGCCACATCTGGTAAAAATTTCCTAGTTTCTGTGATTCAAACCAGGAGTTTTGTGTTGTAGAATATTATTTTAAGATGTGTTACATTTGTTTATGCTGTAGAACATTTGTTTAATGATGCAAAGATATATTGCATTCTTTTATGTTGCATTTGGTTAACTCTGTGAAGCTGTGTTACTTTGCCTGTCTAAAACACCTGATTGGTCTAATAAAGAGCTGAACAACCAATAGCAAGGCAGGAGAAAGAATAGGTGGGGCTGGCAGACAGAGAGAATAAATAGAAGGAGAAATCTGGGGAGAGAGAGATATCTAGGAATGAGAAAAGCAGGAGGAGGAGGACATCTGGGGCCAGCCACCCAGCTACCCAGCAAGACACGGCATAAGAAGTAAAGAAAGGTATATAGGATAACTTAATTGTGACAAAAATTAAGTAGGCTTTATTCTTTCGAGTATGGCTACTACTGCTTTTAGTATGGACAGGGACTTCATACACCTCTGTAGAACACTATTTTGTTTACCTATGCCTTAGGAAATCTTTGTGATTTTTCTTACATCTATATTCATAAACTATTAAAGGCAAAAGAGCCATAGTTTCACTGCCCCTAATTCTATAGTCAAGAAAAGGGGGGTTCAGACAGGAGGATGAAATCCTTTGGACCATGACAAAGACATGCTTCACTTTATCTTACACTGTTCTCATACCTAATTATTTGCACTTTATAGTCTATATAGTTGTTTATCAGATAATGTCAACTCAACCATCTGGAGTCAATGAACTGATAAAATACTGAATTTTATAAAAATATAAGTGAATGCAAATTACTATGGAATTCATAATAAAAAATACCTATTTGGGGAATTATATAGTAACATATGTATCAGGACTATACAGTGACTAATGGCTTCTTACTAATCAGTAATGACCTACTAATTAGGATTTTGAAAACCTAACTTTTGATTCAACTTATGGCAACTGAGCATGGTTATTTCTTCTTACATGCCATTAAAATCATCCTAATTTCAAAATGAGTGTAAAGACATTGAAAAGACAGAAGGTGAGTGAACAAACTGTGGATAAGATCATATATAGACAGCCTAAGGTGGAATTGAGAGCATGTGTATGCTTCATAGGATGGCCATGGAGAAAATACAGCACATACAAGAAAGCTGGGCAAGGACAGAAAAAGTGAAAAGAAACCAAGCTGTGAAATACAGCGATTGCTTGGTGGTTAAAAGCACGTGCTGCTCTTGCAGAGGACGCAAGTTCAGTTCTTAGCACCCACATGGCAACTCACAACCCCCTGTAACTCCAGTTCTGATTCCTCTGGCCTCAGCAGACACCCACTCTAATGTGCACATAACCACACAGCACACGGGAGGGGGGAGTCAAGAATTAACTAAACATCAACTTTTGAAAGAAAAAAAAAACAAGCTGGCAGATTCTTCAGGCAAACAAATGAACAAACAAACCTAATATCTTCATTTTTCTTTTCCTTTGTCCATCTGCAAAATGTGCTCCCAGTGATGAAATAAATTTCTGAATGATTGTGTACTATGCCTAGAAGATAGTGCTGCTTCTATATGTATATAGTATTGCTGGCCTAGACTGAGTGCCATTTAATTTAATCTGATATACAAACTAAAATCTTATTCCACTCAACCTGGAGATCTGTGCATTTCACTAAAAATGATACATGGGAAAAAGTAGCAAAAGGACTAGCATTGAAGGTTTAATAAATTGAACTATATAATCAAGACAAAGTGAGACAAATGGACCAGAATAACCATGTGCTTCATATCATTACAGGAAAAAAAATACAATTTCAAAAACAATGAGTAATGATGTAACGTTGCCTCCTGTGGTTGTGCCTAGATTAACCCAGTACAAAGTAGTCTGAGAATATTGTGAGTTAAAAGGCAAAAATACACCTCACCTACTGAGCGTTAAGAGTTTGGGGAGAAAAAAATGCATTTCAGAGTATCGGTTGCTTATTCTGATAATTGTATGATTGACTAGGACCTGCAGCTTCCTACTGCTGCCCAGGATCACAAGAATCATGCCATGGAACTCTAGTCTGGGCAGAGGGTGGAATGGGGGAGTCAAAATTTAAGGTGTGGTAGACACTAATTTATATCACTCCACAAAATTAAAAAATTCTAAGTCATGAAACATCTGTACTTTAAAATTAACAGTGGAGTGCTGTTCAGGTGCAGGCCATGCTAGTCAGAAGAGCTAAGAGGCCCACCTGCTCTTGAAAACCTCCTATGCCCTTGGTTCAGATCCCAAGGACCCAAGCTGCTGTCACCCCTTCCTGACCACTGTCCATACCCACTGCCATGCCCCTGCCCCTGCACGGGTGGATATCCACTGCTCATGTGTAGGCCAGTCAGAAAAACAGAGCTCTCCCACCCCTCTCTGAGGGAGACTCCCTGTTTGACCAGAGGTCACAGCTGGCCACTAGAAATATAGACCACAAGGAGCAGAAGACTAAAGAGGAAACATAAAACATAAAACAAAGAATAAAACACCCATCCAACAAAGACAAATTCAGAAATGGGCACCTAGACCAATATTCATCCCAAACCCAGATAGATGCCTAAAAACCAGTATAAGAACACAACAGCAAGGGCAATATGGCACCACCAGAGCCCAGCTATCCTACTAAAGTAACCCTTCTACAGCTGAAGCACAAGAAAACGACCTTGAAACCAAATTTATGAAGATGCTAGAAGTTCTTAAAGAGGAAATGAATAAATCCCTTAAAGAAATCCAGAAAAACATAAACATAGAGGAAATAAATGCCTTAAAGAAAGCCAAGAAAAAAGCAAACAGGTAAAAGAAATGAATAAAACTGCTCAAGACCTGAAAATGGAAAAGGGAGCAATAAAGAAAACAAACTGAGGGGATCCTGGAGATGGAAAATCTAGGTGAGCAAACAGGAATTACAAACTCAAGTATCATCAACAGAATATAAGAGATGTAAGAAAGAATCTCAGGCATAGAAGATATAATAGAAGAAATTGATTTATTGATTGAAGAAAATGTTAAATCTAAAAAATTCCTAACACAAAACATCCAGGAAATCTGGGACACTATGTAAAGATCAAACCTAAGAATAATGGGAATAGAAGAAGAAAAATCTCAGCTCAAACACTCAGAAAACATTTTTAACCAAATCACTGAAGAAAAACTTCCTAACCTTAAAAAGGGCATGCCTATAAAGGTATAAGAAACTTACAGAACACCAAATAGATTAGACAAGAAAAGAGAATCCACCCACCCCCTGCTGCCACATAATCACAACACTAAACATACAGAACAAAGAATATTAAAAGCAGCAAGGGAAAAGGGTCAAGTAACATATAAAGGCAGACCTATTAGACTAACTTCTCAATGGAGACTCTAAAAGCCAGAAGGACCTGGACAGATGTTACAAAGACTTTAAGATTATACAGATGCCAGCCCATACTACTATACCCAGTAAAACTTTCAATCATCATAGCTGGAGAAAACAAGATATTCCATGACACAGTCAAATTTAAACAATACCTATACGCAAATCCAGCCCTACAAAGATATTAGAAGAAAAACTCCAACCCAAGGAGGTTAACTACACCTGAGAAAACAAAAGAAATAATCTCACACCATCAAAACCAAAAGAAGGGAAACACACACACTACCACCACCACTAACAACAAAAAAATAACAGGAATTAACAATTATTGGTCATTAATATCTCTCAATATCAATGGACTCAATTAACCAATAAAAAGACACAGGCTAACAGGGTGGATGCCAAAAAAAAAACCAAGATCCATCCTTCTGCTACAAACAAGAAACAGACCTCAACATCAAAGACATATATTACCCCAGAGTAAAGGGTTGGAAAAAAGATTTGACAAGTAAATGGACCCAAGAAGCAAGCTGGTGTAGCTAACCTAATATCTAACAAAACAGACTTCCAAACAAAATTAACCAAAACAGATGGGGAAGGATATTTATTCATTAAAGGAAAAATCCACCAGGATGACATCTTAATATTTAACATCTCTGCCCCAAACACAAGGGCACTCACATTTGTAAAAGAAACACCACTACAGCTTAAATCACACATAGAAGCTCACACATTAAGAGTGGGAGGCTTCAATATCCGACTCTTATCAATGGACAAGTCATCCAGACAAAAATCAAACAGAAATAATGGAGCTAACAGACATTATGAACAAAACGGACCTAACATATCTACAGAACATTTCACCCAAACACAAAAGAATGTACTTTCTTCTTAGTACCTCCTG